ACTTCTTGAAAACATGGAACAACTCCCATTTCTTCTTCTTCTTCAAATTCTTTATTAGTTTCAACAATAATTTAGTTTTACGTACTGAAAATTAAATAGGGGTAAATTAGGAAAAACCTTGGCAAAAATTAATTTTTCAATGACATTAAAGAAAATTTCTTAATCCGTATGAAAAAACAAAACAAGCTTATATAATTGAGACGGAGGGAGTTCTATTTACTTGTAAGTAAATTTTATAAGGTTAGCCAAACACGAGTATGGTTGGCCATGGAGAATTTTAATCTTCACACTCCAATTATTGAAAGAGTGTAGACAGAGTGCCCCATTTTTACGCATTCCACTGAAGTGACACAGCTTTGGAAAAGGAATTCAAGAATAGAAAGTAGGTGGGCAAATTTGTTCTTACATATTGAGTGAGAATCTTTTTGATTGTATATGCTTTTCTACCACGTGATCAATGATTTTTTTGTACAAGGAATAATTGAAAAAAGAGAACCCTACTCAAAAGTAATTGACAATTAAACAACATTTGTAGGTCGATAACAAAGACTATGAATGACTTCTCAGAAGGCCTAAAACTCGTATACAAAAGGCATGTAGGAAGAAACAATTTTTCTTCCTCCTCTTTAGCTCTAAAAAAATAAAATATTGTGTACTAAGATTCTTTATTTGAGCTAGATTGGTATGCTTCACTCCTTTTTCTTTATTTTCGTATTCGAAGGTGACAACCATATTCATATGCTCATAATACGGCCTCTCAATGATCGCTCCTAAGGCTAAAAAAACTGTTGATCGAACAAAATATTTTGGCTCGACATTTTTTATACAAGGGAGTTAGACTGGTTATAATGAAATAGAATGAATTAAGACAAATTTTAATGTGATCAACGAAGATTACAATATCATGACTAATATAATATTTTTAAGTTAAGATTGTACAATTATGATACTATATAGTAATTAAGCCCCCAGTTTGATAACCATTATTTTCAAACTTTTTTTTCTACTTACTCATTTTTAACCAAAACATTCATACAGTAAAATATTTTATACATAAACCCAAATTTTTTCCATACTTTTGAACGACAGTAAAAATCACTATTCAAAATATTGTTTTTATGAAAATAATAGCAACCAAACAGGGGTAAGTTTCCATCAAACTTAAATGAAGAGTATTTATATCCAAATGATGCGTGAATTGTAATTATGACAAGTTACTTGTTAAGCATTGTGCTTTCCTTTTCGATTGATACTGATATAAAAATGCACCTTAATAATAACAATATACAATAAGGCCCTGTTTGATGGCCTTGATTTTTCATTTTTCCCACTTTTTGGCTGTTTAATGACAATAATTTTCCATGGAAAAT